GATAATGAAAATCAAATGAAATCCATAAATAAATGGGCAATATGTAATATTACGAAATAGTTACATATTCAACTCGCGCAGCACAATTAAAAAACCTGTTTTACCTGTTGACAAGCCAGTTTACTGTCTAAAAAGCTGCATTAAATCCATGGGTTTCGTGGCCTTCGTCAACAACGGTGATCGGGTTGTATGGATTTGGACATTTCGTACTCATCATGTAGTTCTAAAAATAGTGATAACAAGTATTTTAAATATTTTCCCTTGATATCGATAAAACCATGACTCCAAAAATGCTCGATTTTTGATCAAAATCCATGTGCTATAGTCCACCAAAATGGCCAAAAATGACGATTTTTGATCAAAATGCATGGGCTATAGCTCACCAAAATGGCCAAAAATGGTCGATTTTTGATCAAAATGCATGGGCTATAGCTCACCAAAATGGCCAAAAAAGGTCGTTTTTTGATCAAAATGCATGGGCTATAGCTCACAAAAATGGCCAAAAAAGGTCGTTTTTGATCAAAATGCATGGGCTATAGCCCACCCAAAATGACTCCTCTTTTGGGTCCTAAATTGTCCCCAATCCCTATCTTGAGATACAACTAATGGTGTTTGCACGTTTCAATCCCCCCTTTATGAATATAATCCTTACGTGTGCAGCAGGAAAGGCATTTCTCTTCTCCTCGATACTCGCTCCTTTTCCTAGCCAAACGTAACAGACTTTCTCTGTATCAAGAATGAACACTATAAAGAAAAAATAAATGAACGATTAGCATAATTACGCCCAGCTAAATGCATAGATGCCTTTCGCTGGCAACTAGTACCCAGTCCAYCTCACCATCATCAGAGTTTAGCTGACTCCTTTTGACTCCATCCCCACGGGAGACTTCCACAAAGTCAAGCTGACCAGAGCTGTCCGATAGCCTGCAATKATGTTARCAATAGGTTAATAAGGTTTTTCTGCACACAATAGACCAATCCCGCATTCACTTGGATAAACACAAAACAATCACTTCATTTCGAGGCTGGAGTTTTCAACAAAAGATAAAACTCCAGCCTCGAAATGAAGCCATTGTTCCGTGTTCATCCAAGCGAATGCGGGATTGGTCTATTTTCGCTTTATTTCTTTTCTTGTTTTTGGTCTTCCTTTGGGAAGAGAGTGGGACTGATACCCTCTACCACTTCGGTAGAATTTGTGTCTCAAAAATGGGACCCTAAATATCTCCAAATCCACCATTTCAATACCTATAAAGTACTTTTTCAAACGGCTGCCGTGTGGGGTCTGGGGCTTGTCCATTCCCAGTTCCATCTGGGAAAAGCGCAGCCAATGATTCATCCATGTCGTTAATATCTTGGTCATCTGAAAACGTAAATGGTAACTGATTTATACAAACCGAACTCACGAGCGCTTATCTTGGTCATCTGAAAAGTTATGGTAAATGGTACTGATTTATTTATGCAAACTGACCGCACGAGAGCTTATGTTTCAGACTGTTTTCGAGGCTTTGGATTCGCTAACCAGTTAGATGAATAAATTGATATGGAATCATGCACAACACTTACCAAGAACTTCTACTTTGGCTTTGCCATTTCTTTCTTCCTGAGATTTAGAAAATGTAGAAACTCAGATACAAAGAAGAACAACAACATTGACAACAGCATTGACAACAACAAAAATGACAATAGCACCATCGACAACAACAACATATACGGCAATGAAAACAAAATCGACAACTATGACAACAACACCATCAACAAACATGACAACAACATCGACAACAACAACAAGAATGACAACAAAATCGACAACAATGACAACACCATCAACAAACATGACAACAACATCGACAACAATGACAACATCGACAACAATGACAACAACAACAAGAATGACAACAACAAGAATGACAACAACAAGAATGACAACAAAATCGACAACAATGACAACAACACCATCAACAAACATGACAACAACATCGAAAAAAATCACAACAACAACAACATCGACACCAGTACTTACATCAAGTGCCATGGCTACTTCTTTTCCTTTGTTCCTTTCGAATGGAGACGCATCTTGACCACACCACTGTGAATAATAAACGATGGTAAAGCATTTCACCAATAATCGTTAAAAGTCGGATTTACACGATGCGATTGTGGTGTACGATTTCTAGTATACGACTCTATCG